CTTACGATCTGTTGCAGATTGTTACCGATCAGAGCTACACAGTGGAATTTTCTCTCTAACTACACCTTGCCAGGAATATTGACAGGGATGGCTAGATGGCTTTTCAGATCAAATAACTATTACTGATAATTGTATGCCTCACTAATATTTCTGAGAATACGAGTCCAAGATTCTTTTAAGGAAGAGTTTAAAAAAACCACTGTTGTATGTATAAAAAGGATGTGGTAGAAGAATATCTATAAAATAGAAGATTCCCACTTTTTTTTCACCTATGGAATATTATGGGCATTCCCACAAAATGGCTGTCATGGAGCCAGCAGCTGATCAAAAAAACACTTATTTATCATAAGGCTGACTGATGAGATTGCTTCCAGCTGTCAACTCCAAGATGAACTCTATTATTCACCTTACCTCTCATTTTTCTCTGTAGATGGGCAAACATTCTTATGAGGTTTATTTTCAAGGAATGTTTCTAGGGTGTATATGGGACCCAGAAACAATACTGGAACCAGAGTTGATGTTTGAGATTGGCTATTTGCTTTACAGCATGCTAACCTCCCTTTTTTAATTAAAAAAATGTACAAAAAAACTAACAAAATCACCTAAGTCAAGAAGCCTAGTGGGCAGCAAGGGAAGTGTCAGAATGTTGGAAATCCACGCTCTGAACTAAAGTAGATCAAGGAAGCTGTATAAATATATAACTTTACAGATTTGGCTTTGTTAGACATATAATCTGTGCAGATTAATGTAGTAAAATATAATTAAACTGGTTAGAGTCCAATGAGAAGAGGGCATACAAATTGGTTGAATAAAATGCATCAAGGGGGATATGGTTTTCAGGACACAATGAATTCAATTATTTCCTTTGATAACTGCATGGACACCATGGAAGATTGTGAGGAGATAGTGGTGTTCCCTTTACAGATACAAGAAATACCTATGTAGAAAGGGTTATTTAGCCAGCTGAGGCAATTTTTAGGTGACTTGAGCAAGCTTTTTTTGCAAATTCCTTGACATGTGTGCAAAACTTATTTTGCAAGCTTGTGGATTGCATCATTCTATTGTTTATCACTCTTGCTTGCCTTTCATCTGTATACTTACTTGTAGCAATTAAGATAAAGAGGACAACACCAGTTCCCCAGTCTAACATCTGCTAAGGGGGGGAGGGAGAACAATACCTGCATACTAAAACCAATATTCTCATAACACATTCTTAGCAAAAGGTCACTTACCTGGGCCCCCAAAATATCATCTGACTCTCTCCAGGTGCTGTCTCCTAGAAGCCTCTGTCTTCCATAAAATATCTTTGGCAGAGATTCCACTGTCTAAAGTTATGATCATGTCCCAGATAAGATATGCTACCAAGCCATGCCCAGATGCTGTTGTTTGTATTCTGTCTCTTCTTAGTACAGGTAGTCCTTGCTTAGCAACCGTTCATTCAATGATGGTTTGAAGTTCAGGAAAAGTGATTAATGACCTGTACTTGCACTTACAACTGTTGTAAACTGTCACACCATTCCTGTGGTCATGTGATCGTGATTTGCAACCTTTTTTACAATGGTCATTAAGCAAATCACTGTGGTCATTAAGTGAATCACTATGGTCATTAAGCAAATCCTGGAAAAAAAGTCCATTGGGAAAGCTGGATTTGCTTAACAACCACATAATTCATTTAATGACTGCAGTGATTTGCTTAATGACTGTCGTAAAAATAGTTGTAAAATCAGGTCTGGTCACATGATGACTTGCTTAATGACCACCTCACTTAACAACCAATTTTCCAGTCCCTATTGTGGTTGTTAAGCAAGGACTACCTGTATAAAAAAATTGACAAAAGCTTCCAGTTTGAACCTTGGCATAGCCCCAGGTTCCTAAAAGGCTCTTGAGTTCAAACTAGCCATCGCTATCACTCCACAACTCTTCCCCAGCCCAACAGAGGTTCAGTAGCATATTATTTCTGGAGTTTATCTAGCTATCTATATCAGTGTTTTTGTTCATATTTTCATATTATCTGCCTTCTTTACATAGCTTTTCAAAGAAACACTTGGGGTTTTTTTTGTTTTGCAATCCATCAGACACATGCACACAAATCCATTTACTAAAATTCATTAATGGGGATTGGGTTCTAGGAAATCATTTTATTTAATTTGCAGAATGCAGGTAAGGGAATTTTTTTACTCCACAACCTGTCATACTACAGAGGATAAGACATGAATTGGATCACATTATGAGCGTCTGCTGTGCTTCAAGCCAAGTTGGTTTCAGACTGCTTTCTCAATGATGGATGATGAAAACACTGCTACCCAGAGAGTAGTGAGGATACTTAGAGAGATAGGTTTTGTTTGTTTTGTGCATGCAGTGTGGGATATATGATTCCTATGTGCGATGTAAAGATGATCTTATTAAATTGGGAAATATTTCTTGAAATTAATTTACTTCAGAGAAAAAAAATTAAAGTCCTACTTTCTGTGAAATGGGTGATATAGTAGACAAACCAGAAAACAGGTGGGCCTCATCACTGTCTGGTACTCAGGCTTTTGGTTTAGTCTTTGGAGAACTAAGCATTTTATGATTGGTCATGAATATCTAACACTTTCTTTGTAAATGGGCACACCTTACTATGGCAACTATTTGAGGCTATGCGCATGAAATTTTCTCAAACGTTTAAAATGCATCCCAGTTCCAAAATGGAAGGACTGCATTCTCAAGTACTGTATTTTAATTTGTCCTTGGTTTAATGATCAGAGAGGTTTTTTTTCAAAACTATGAAAAATGTGTGGGTGTTCTTGCTAAAACAGTGCTCTCTTGGGTAACACTTAAACATCACTCGAAAGAGAAGTGCTTTGGCATCACCCAATTACTCAATCTCTTTGGTTAAAGTTTTTTGAAGAAATTGGGAAGGTCAATCCTGACAATCTTTCACAATGAAGCCCATTGTATGTATGCATGTATGAATTTGCTTTATGGTCATAGATCAGAAAAAACAAATATACTTCATAAATCAGCATCTGTTCTAGTCTGCATAGCTCAGACTCAGAGTGTTCTAATAGTGGCTGCCATAAGATAAAATTTTGCAACTTTCCCAGACATTTTGCTAGACTGATCCTTTAATAAAAAAAATGTACAAGGCTATTATTAGTTTATTGTTTATATTTCCCAAGGCCTGTAAACTAATGCAGCTTCACACATTTCTTCAGTTGCTATTGTTAGCTATGAGATTTGTGATCCAAAAACACTGAAAAACTAAAATACAAATTTTACTGGACCAGTTATATTTTAAAATGTAGGCAGATGTTCTGGTTTAAAAATTAACACAGAACAAAAAACTTAAAAACTCTCACAATGAAGAATAAATTTAGTGAAAATTGACCACCTTTTATTAGCCATATTAATGTTTGGCTATAAAATGTCACTATTAAACATGGATATTTGAAGTGTTGTATTTCTCCATAAGGTGACATATTCAAATATTTACATGTATGTATACTCCAAATTTCTATTTATCTATTTATTTATTTGTAATTTTTTTTAGTTTTGTCTTGATATTTTGTTTGCTTAATAAAACAAGCGAGAGAGAGAGAGAGAGAAGTGTTTGCTTTTATCTTGGAAGCAAGGAAGTTCATAAGGAGACCTAGAAAAAACAAGAAACCTGTGGAAGATCAGACCCGAGGCATATCCAATCCAGATCACTTTGGGAATTACAAATATGTATTCCTGTATTGATTTGTTAGTATACAGATTGGCCATATTTTTGCACTGAATAATATATTAATAATACAGTGATTTATAAGGCCAAACTAACATAGACAAAACTGCAAAAGAATGCTTCTCAATGGATTTTGAATGAAAAATGCATGAGGAAACCGATGGTAATAAATTCTCTCAGTGTCATTTTGCTTGCCTGGTCAGGAAACATTTATCTTTATGAGGGATTAAACTTCAAAAGTGTACCATGTTTATAACATTTCGGCCAGTTTCTGAGCAAAGTCCATTTTCAGACCAGCAACAAAGGGTTTGCAATAAGGGAGGCTTCCCCAGCCCACCAGAGAAAAAAGGACCATAAAATTGAATTAAGCGACTTGGGTGAATTCCTACATTAGCATCAAACCTTTTGGGGCTCTTGGAAACAATGTATGGAGCAAATCCAATAAATTCCTTCCATGGAAATTGGTTCAAGACGTCATCCAATTTTTGTATGTTAAAAGACTGTCGAAGTATCTTATCATCACTCCAGCAGGATTTGCAGAAACCCCTAACATTAGGCTATAATTGGTTAATTAATTGGTGGCTGTGTGTGGTGAAAACCCTTAAAGTGGATTAAGAAGACAATTCTGTGTACTGTGTACATCTGAACAATTGAGTGAATTAAACACAGAATACCATTGTTGCAAAACAGGCATCTGTACCCTGCTGCTCTTCTCATCTGCTGAACATCAACTCCCTCAGCTCCAGCTGATGTGGCCTGTGGACGTTTAAGTCCGACGTTATTGAGAGCTCTAAAGCAAAATCAACTACGCTGGCGAAGGGAAGTTCTAAGGACCACCACGAGCCCTTGAGAGTCCCAGACCTCACAAACTCATAAAAAATGAGACGGGCGGAGCCATCGACAAGAAGGCGTCAGCCCCTCCCGCTCCGCCACTAGGGGCGGAGCATTCCTCTCCCTTTTGTCCATGCTTATAAATGGACAGAGGAGCGAGGGAGAGACGCAGGCGCGGTGCACGACGGAACAATCTATAACTGCCATTGGGCGCCGTGCGCACCTTTTTACTCCAGCGGCGCCTGACGGCGCAACACGGAAGTG